CATGATGCTTCACACAGGATGCTTCACACATGATGCTTCGCACAGGATGCTTCACACAGCCTTCAGAGTAAATGTATTTGACAAAAAGCACCATTTAGCTTTATAGCTCTCCTTCATTTGATAAGAAAGACAAAAGGGTCAGAAAGACATTGTGCTTTGTTTAAGGATAACTGGGCTGTTGTCTTATATACTCCTGTTCCTTTTAGATTAAACATGGACCAGTTAGACAAGATTTGGTTTATTTTGATAAACAGGAGATGCATGGTTCATCATTACTTCACAACACCCTGAATTCATATTTAAGGTAAGATACAAGGCTCTCTGTGATCAAACAAAATTATTTAAAGCAGCTGATGAACTTCTAATAAAGTTTTAAAACAGCCAGAGTGAAGCACATTTGATTTACCTACATTATTTCATCAATTATTTAATACTGCAGTCTGTGGATATGGTGAAAAAAGTTATGTTAATATTTGTAAAGGCCATTCGTTCCATTCAGAGACATGTCAGGTCAATGAGCAGCAGCTTGTAGCTCATGATCACTAATGAACTCCACATGTTCCTCGGCTGCTGCTCTGATCAGCTGCTGCTAATGAGGCTCATGTGAGGCTAAAGGATGCCGACCAGAAACAGACTCAGACATCTGAACTTCCACAACCACAAGGTCCAGGTGAAGATAAACCAAAAGGTTCATTTTGAACAGTGTTTGCAGAGTCCATCAAAACTCATTAAACTGGCGTCTGATTAAAATGATCTTACAGATGAAAATAAACGTAAAATTAATTTACAACATGTTAAATCTGGAAACACACTTATCAGTTTTAGGACATGCAAGGTGTTGCATGACTAAAAATTAAACCTGTCATTATATGTCTCTCTGTTTCAAACTTTTCTTTTGACTTGTGTGTAAATGTGCACGTGTTTTTAAACAGAAACCGTGTAGACGCTGGTTAGCAGATTGATGAAATGAAGCTGATCACGAGACACAATGAAGGAGCTCTCTGTTATAAACTGTTCATTTTAAAAATACATTGTAATTCCTGTCCTTGCTTGCATTATTAGTTGTCCAAAATAAAGATGACTTCAGACAAAATTAGTCTCTGTAAGCAGAAAGTCATATATTGATATTTGTTTTGTGTGTGTGTGGAAGTTTTTGCAGCTTGAGGATTAGTATTTGAAGCAAGAGAATAAAAAAGTGAAAGTGCATTTTACGTCAAAATGAAGTAAACGCTGAGAGCTGAATAATTGCTGACATTTGCTAAAGAAATTGACTTTAAAAGGCTAAAAAAATAACACTAAGTAGCAAAGCGCTGGCTAAAAGTAGAGGAATGGTTGCGATAGATGAAGCTTTTTCTTAGTTTACACATTTCCCAGGAGAAATTGATAAGTCGGCCTGTTACGAGGCTGAACCGGGTGTCAGATTCAGTTTTCATTTTGGAAGATGTGTTTAAAAAAAACAAAAACTAGGAGCTGCTCCGATACACAGACAGCAAAAAAGCAGGAGGAGAACAGGGAGAGGGAAGGAATGCGTGCGCCTCGTTAGAGAGCCAGTGGAGAAATAAAAGACCTGAAAAGGAAGAAGAGGTATCCAAAAACGTTAAGTCAGATCCTCTGGATTGGTAAAAAAAAAAATAAAAAAAGAGAAGAAGAGGGTGAAGATAATGGATGGCTTACAAGATGCTGAAAGGTGACAAGCAACCTGCACCAATCCTCGCAGCCGAACATAAAAAGTTTTCAGAAGCAGTTCAGAGGAAACGGCAAACAATTCATACAATTAACAAAAATCGTGAACTGCACAGTCTAATTGGTTTGATGCGAGTTATAAAAACTACAACGCACACAATGTTTGCATTTGGCAAAATAAAAAAAAGTGATAGGAACGTCGGGTGCAAGCTACTTGTTGCCGTGGTGACATAGAATGCTGGAAAATACACAAATGTTCTAATTTCTAAAGCAACAGTCTGTATAGTTTTCATAGTTGCTCAGCGTTGTAGATGCTGCTGCTGCGTTTCTGTGTTTAATTCCCAGCTGACAGTTCAGCATTACTGCATACCTTCACTTTCACCAAAATGTGAAAAATGTGTCTTCATCATCAAAACGTCTTTAGGATAGCGGACATTCTTGGACATATGTCACACACAAGAATCCACGTCTGTCTTTTTTATTCCTGCTGGTTCAGCTGAGAGGCACAAAAATGTCAAAAAGTTCATTGTTTTGTGTTCTGTCAACTGCAAAGAACACGTTGAGCTTATTCTCCTGCTGCCAAAAGGTTAAATAATTAATGAGGCAGTGGGTGATTTTTGATGGAAGTTCTGAGAAAGGAAGGATTGTTTGTTCATCCACAGCAAACATTTTGAGTCAACCTGACTTAAGACGGCTGCCGCAGCTAATCCGTGTTAGCAAACACAAAACTGGCTGTCACTCCATTCACTTTGGAACCACTGAGTTAGAAATTGGCTTGGTAGTAGCTGAACGTGATCCCCAACACATACATTGAGCACAGACTGATCTCTGTTTAATACTTTGCCTGTAGCAAGTTTTTTAAGTGGAACATCTCGAGAACTACTAGATGGATTTTAATTGTCTGCTTCTAATGATTGGAACCATTTACAACAAACTCTAAAACTATTTCTTTTTATCAGGTTTCCTTTTTTTTTTTAATGTTCAGTGAAAGCATCTCTTCATGACCGCTGTACGATTCTAGTGATCTCATTTCAACTTCCTGTTGCAGTCTTGTACCGTGGACATCTGTCTCAGCTCAGACTGGTCATCGGTCATTTGATCAAAACTTACACCACCGGTCTTGTCTTAAACGGAGGAGTGTTTCATTTAAAGGGCAGTAGATTCATTCATTCAACCTTCATTTATACAGGTTGATCTCAATGAGCCTCGGGGACTCGTTTACAAGAGGACAGTCAAAAGGAAAAAAGTAGTGAAAAAAAAACATCTAGATTATAAGGCGGAGTAGAAAACTGAAAACAGGAACATGTCTGCATTGGTTCTTGACAGGAATTTAGCAGAAGCCGCTTAGAGAGGTCAAGGTCAAGAGCTTCAAATCTTTCTTACAAGATATTCCAGGAAACAGGAGCGGAGTAGGAGAAGGCCCTTTTGCTTAGTTCAGTCTGCACTGAGGGGACACTGCATGTAATAATGTCCTGACTAAAACATAAACAGACATGAATAATGCAAAACAATTCGGTTTCACCTAAT